GAATAATGGCTGAAATTTCTTGCCAGTTATAGGCATATTGACAGACTTTCTTTCCTGTGTAGTAACTAAAAATACTATCTTATGATTTTCATGCTGTTATAGATACTACAAATATTCTTATTTGAATTAGTAGTATATGAAGTAACTTCTCTCAAACATATAAAAACATTAGGCATAAAAGCCTCAAATTTACAAAAACTAAAAGAAAATATAACTGACGTTTTGAGGGCTTTGGGAATTGGTGGTGATTTTTTAAGCTTAGAAAACTTGGATTAATAAAGACACATATGTACTCCTCATATTATTTCAGCTCATTTCCAGTGCCTTTGGGCAGACATTGCTAATAGATGAAGGCACTCTTTTTTTATTAAAATGGGATTTCACTTTAGAATCCTTCTTAACCACGTATTTATACAACCAATAAGAAATTACGTGATAAGGTAGGTGAATTAAAAATGAGTTGTCTATCTTTGAAATAAAAGAAGAGGTAATCAAGTTTGATTTTTTTTTTTTTTTTTTTTTTTTTTTTTTGAGACGGAGTCTTGCTCTGTAGCCCGGGCTGCAGTGCAGTGGCCGGATCTCAGCTCACTGCAAGCTCCGCCTCCCGGGTTTGCGCCATTCTCCTGCCTCAGCCTCCCGAGTAGCTGGGACTACAGGCGCCCGCCACCTCGCCCGGCTAGTTTTTTGTATTTTTAGTAGAGACGGGGTTTCACCGTGTTAGCCAGGATGGTCTCGATCTCCTGACCTCGTGATCCGCCCGTCTCGGCCACCCAAAGTGCTGGGATTACAGGCTTGAGCCACCGCGCCCAGCCTCAAGTTTGATTTTAAGATGCCATTTCTTAATTTTTTAGGCCTTTCTTGTCTTCCATTTGAGTGATCTTTTTCTTCCCCTTTTTTCTTTTACTAATTTACAAGTTATATATTTCTACCTTTTAGTGGTATGTTAGTGGGAGATTATCTTGATACAATGATGTCTCCAAGTCCTTTACCAAAGGACTGGCCCAGACAGGCTCACAGACCAAAGTAAGATGCTGAGATTACAGTTTATTGAGTCAATTTAAAGGATACAGCAAGAATCAAGGGGAAAGGGAGAAAGGTTAATAATGTACTTAGGAAAGGGTGCAATTAGTATAGGATTGAATTAACTGAAGCCTATTCTATAAAATGTTTATATGTCCTCTCTTCTGTTTTTCTATATTAATTCTTCCTGCTAATACTGTTATTATAAGGACCAGAATTGCATATAAACAAAGAAGACTCGGCAGATGAGGGTGCCTACAGCCAATTTATATTTTCTCTGCAAGAAAGACTCAGGGACTGGTCCGCCTGGCTATAATTGTGACTCACCACTGTTACCTGTTGAGCACCCATGGATTTTATCTGTCTTGAGCAGAGGATACATGGAGCCAAAATGGGGCCTCATGAATATTTGGTGCCTTGGGTGTTTCATGAATATTTGGTGCTTACCCAGTCCTTCCATATCTTCTTGTTTATGCACTCAGTACACATATACTCTACTTATCTTATATCTAACATATCTATGTATCTCTTAATTAATTTTTCCTTTCTTTCATTTTCTAGTCCCTGAATTGAATATTCTCAAATGATGTAGCAAATACACATGATAGGTGTCTTGAAATTTTTAACATGCATACATCATTTTACAATTTCCAAAATTAATAATAACTGTAGCCTCCTCTCAAAAAATGGAATTTAGAAACAGAGTATGTTCTACCCTGACTTCCTCTTCTTTCATGTTATAGCATCTTAATTTTCTTGGTTATAATACATTATTTATATGTCAATACTTAGTTTCTCCAAAATTTTATTCAGTTTCCTTGTTCAATATTTCTTCTTACATCTTGTTTCTTCCTTTCGGATTCAATTTCCTTCTTATCGAAGTACATCTGTCAGTCGTTGTTTTAGCCTACGTCTGTGAATGGTAAACTTTAGTGGTCTTTATCTGACAACCTTTCTCATCCTCATTTTGACAGTTTAGTTGAGAATAGAATTTCCCATAGCCCTTTAAAAATTGTATTTTAATCTTTCTTTTTACTAGTGGCAGTTCTATTGTCAATTTTATTTTTGTTTCCTCATAGGTAGACTACTGTTGTTGTTTGAGACAGGGTCTTACTCTGTCACTCAGGCTGGTGTGCAGTGGCATGATCATGGCTCACTGTAGCCTTGATTTCCCAGACTCAAGTGATCCTCCCGTTCAGCCTCCCAAGTAACTGGGATGACAGACATGGGCCACCAAGCCCAGCTAATTTTTTAAATTATTCATTTTGGAGACACCGTGTTGCTCAGGCTGGTCTTGAACTCCTGGGCTCAAGTAATACTCCTGCCTCAGCCTTCCAAAGTGTTGGATTACAGGCGTGAGGTACTATGCCCAGCCTGTAGCTGTGTTTTCTTTCTTGTTTTGCTCTTAGGAATTGTTTTTCTTGTTTTGGTGCTCATTAATTTTAACTAGAAGTGTTCTGATATTGATTTCTTTTAAAACATGTATCCTGTTAAGGACTTACTGCATTCTGGTTCAAGTCTATCTTCATATCTCACACATTCTCTGCTATCTTCTCTTTGAATCAGGCCTACCCTCCATTTTCTTTCTTTTCTTTCTTTTTAGAGCTTCTATTAAATATGTGTTAGGTCTTGTTATTGTATTATAAGGATATAACTTCACTTTCATACTCTCCATTTTTTAAACCTCAGTATAATTTCCTCAGATTTATTTTCCAATTTAATAATTATATCTTTCACTGTATCTAGTTCATCTATTTAACCCATCTGATGAGCTTTTTATTTTTAATAGAAAAAGCTCTATGACAGTAGGAAATTTGTGTATCTTATTCACTATTTTATCTTTAGTACCCAGAACACTGCAAGAACTCTGCAGATGTTCAATAAGTATCAAAATTATTAATAGATCAATAAATTCTTTTTTTTTTTTTTTTTTTTTGAGACGGAGTCTCGCTCTGTCTCCCAGGCTGGAGTGCAGTGGCCGGATCTCAGCTCACTGCAAGCTCCACCTCCCGGGTTCCCGCCATTCTCCTGCCTCAGCCTCCCGAGTAGCTGGGACTACAGGCGCCCGCCACCTCGCCCGGCTAGTTTTTTGTATTTTTTTAGTAGAGACGGGGTTTCACCGTGTTAGCCAGGATGGTCTCGATCTCCCGACCTCGTGATCCGCCTGTCTCGGCCTCCCAAAGGGCTGGGATTACAGGCTTGAGCCACCGCGCCCGGCCAATAAATTCTTTTTAAAAATATTTTTATTTTATCTTATCTTTTTCTTTCATTTGATTTTTATTTTCCTTTATGTTTTTAATCATTTTATGGATTTTTCTTTGATAGTCACTTCCAGTTTTTTGTTTTTTGTTTTAAATTTTTTGGTAGAGATAGGGTCTCACTATGTTGCCCAGGCTGGTCTCAACTCTAGGCCTCAAACAATCCTCCTGCCTTGGACCCCCAAAGTGGTGGGATTATAAGTGTGAGTCACTATTCCTAGTAGTCAGGTTGCTTTATTAACTTAAGTTCTTTGGGCACAGATTTTTCTATTTCTTGTGTCTTCTCATCTGCCTTTTGGTAGATTGTTTCTTTGTGTGGTGTGCAAATTTTATTGAGAGCTCACCTTTATTGAAGGCCATTTATTCTGTGGGATTCTTTTGTTTCCTGAGTTGTGCATATGTCCTCATCAAGGATTCTTATATTTGCTTCAATAGGGCCTGGCTGTTTCTCTGTTTTTAAGCTTAGGATTCTCTTTTCAAATGATAAGGTAAAACTGGATTTCCATTGGCAGAGGCTTTCAATATTCCCAGGAACCATTACTCTCACCCCTACTCATCCTAGACTTCTAAGGCTTCAAAAAGTGAAAACCTCTTTAGGGTTCTAGTTTATGCAGGAATGTTAGCTCCAGATCCTCATAAGTGGCTTCAGGACCACATCTTTTAGTCCCAAATGGGGTTAAAACCTCAGCTCCTGGACCTTTGTGGCTTTGAATTTCTTCTTCAGTTCTGGTATCTGAAGTCTTTGCAAGTTTATCTGACAACTTGCAAAGTTGCAAAGTTTAAAACACAGCTTTATAAACTCAGCTTTATATTTATAAACACAGCTGTTTTAAACTCAGCTTTATATTTTAAAATACTTATACTCTATTCATTATTTCTATATATTTGAAGAAGGCAGGAGTCTCATGCCATGGGAAAAAAAGGAAAATGTGAAAAAGATGATTTGATTTCACAGGTTTTGCTAATGAATTTCATCCAACTTACACATGAGACTATGATTAAGAATCACCATATCATTTTGTTATTCTTAGAGTTTTTTGCAATAGTCTTATGGATATTACCATTAAACCCAATTCAATAAATAATAATGTGCAAAATATTTCAGGATATACAGATTACTAAGATAGTCTCTGCATTCAAGAGGCAAACATTGTGTAGTACAGAGATTAAATTTCATAAATAATCACAATGCAGGAAGCCTAATTGCTATGGAGATGCATATAGCTCTTTAGAATAATACATTACATGTATTATCAAACAAATTACTAAAATTGTTAGAAGATTGAAAAAGGAATCAGAAGAAGGTATTTTCAAGTAATAGTAACAGGAAAAACTTCATGACAGTGGTACTAGTTGAAATGTGCCTTGAAGAATGACTAGGATTTCTGAAAATAAAAACTATGAGGGAGGGGTTGGAAGGGAGGTAGTGACTTTTCCAAGTAGGAAGAAAAGCATTAGCTTAGACAAGGAGCTAGGAGGGTGGAGGGCCTCCAATAAGGAACAAGTAACCAAATTTTCCAGGTTTGGATGTTAGAAAAGCAGTATTATTAGAAAGTAAAAATAAAGAAATGTAAAAAAACAATGGGGTATGGGGGTTGGTACAAGATGGGCATAAATTAAAGCTAATTTAATTAAAAAATTTTTACTGTCATAGTTATCTAAAGAGAACAGATAATGTTGGGTTAATTTTTAAGGATAAATTTAAAAACCAGGATCACTTACAGGGAGTTGGACAAGTTTCTTCTTCTCAATAACCTGATCCTCTGATTGGTTGGTTTTACAGTTTCCAGGAAGGTAAACTGAATCAGCATTTTGGTCTCTCAGGCATACAAGTACCATCTAGTGGCAAAGGAAGGCAACCACAAGAATGAAATTATACAGGAAACATTTGCTTGTTTATTTTGAATTTTATTTATATTATGATTAATAACAGAAGGCCATGTTCTACTTCAATAGGGAAATAAAGTACCCTTTAATCAAACATTGCTTGGTTATTAGTTTAAAAGAATGTGAGATCAGATAAAAATGGATTATAAAGAGCTTATTAAATATGAAATGTTTGAAAATTTTACAAGAACTTAATATCAAATTATATTTTGGGAATGAAACATAAGGATCTACTTGAGTTTAAAGAGAGAGAGAGAGAGAAAGAAAGTCCATGTAAATGAGGAAGAGACAGAAATACTGAAGCTAACTATTTCTCTTTTTTTTTGAGATGGAGTTTCACTCTTGTTGCCCAGGCTAGAGTGCAATGGCGCTATCTCCGCTCACCCCAACCTCCGCCTCCCAGTTTCAAGCAATTCTCCAGTCTCAGCCTCTGGAGTAGCTGGGATTACAGGCATGCGCCACCACACCCAGGTAATTTTGTATTTTTGGTAGAGACGGGGTTTCCCCATGTTGGTCAGGCTGGTCTCGACTTCCTGACCTCAGGTGATCCACCCTCTTCGGCCTTCCAAAGTGCTGGGATTACAGGCGTGAGCCACCGCGCCTGGCGAAGGTAACTATTCTTTTGCAATTTTCTCTGCTTTCACTTTGCCTAACTCCTGCTTAGCCTTCAAATCTTTAGATATGTCTTCCTCTAAACAATGTTCCTTGACACCCCAGCTCTGTATTACATGAATGACTAATATCCTTCTATGGACCACTATTCCCATGATGCTACTGACCACACTTCTTTGTCACTTCCCATTTTATAGCCCTCATTACAATCGATGATCCTAAATAGCTGATGCCATGTCTGTTTCATCCACTGTTCTATCCCAAAGGCTTAGGATAGTACCTGACACATCATAGGTAATTCACAAATATTTATAGAATGAATGGACAGATTAATGAAGAAAGAGAATAACTGTGATGAAAATGTTCAAGGTACAAATATCGAAAGCTAGTATCAGTAAAGTTTAAATAAGAAAACAAAAAGTTTTCAGAAAATTATTAGTTGAAAAAACTATTTTCTTGTACATTGATTCCCTACAGGACATCCATTTATTTATAATTTCTGGTACTTTATAGTTTTCAGAGTACTTCTCTTTATCCTGGTGAAGAAAAAATAATAGTTCACAGCTCACGTATCATTACAGAGATCAAATAAAAGGTTACACATAAAGCATAGAGAAGAATACGCAGCACATATTATATGCTCAACAGTTGGATTTGATTATTTCCTATACCTCATCTCATAAATTCCTTGAAGCAGCACAGAGTCAAAGAAGGAAGCTATTTTAGATTTCTGTTTTACAAATTAGGAAACTAGTGATTATGGAAACTAACCGTGAGGGATATATGATCATGGAGTCACATCAGTTACTAAGTTTCTAAATCCACAACATCTAAGTTATAGTTTATTGTCCCTTCTATGGCATCATGTTGCTTGCTTAGAGAGACAGGAGAGAAGAAAGGACATGTGGATGCTAAATAAGCACAGCACTGCAATGCAGAGAAGGAAAATAAATTATAAAAAGTGTACTAGCTTTTCTCTTGCTTCCCTAACAAATTGCCACAGTCTTCAGTGATTTAAAACAACACAAATGTATTATTACAGTTCTGTAAGTTAGAAGTCCAACACAGGCGGGGCACAGTGGCTCATGTCTGTAATCCCAGAACTTTGGGAGGCTGATGCAGGAGAATGGCTTGAACCCAGGCATTCAACACCAGCCTGGACAACACAGTAAGACCCCCATCTCTACAGAAAATTTAAAAATTAGCTGGGTGGGTGGCATGCACCTATAGTCCCAGCTACTCAGGATGCTGAGGTAGGAGAATCGCTTGAACCCAGAAAATTGGGGCTGCAGTGAGCTATGATTTCCTCACTGCACTCCAGCCTAGGTGACAGAGTGAGAACCTGTCTCAAAAACAAACAAACAAACAAACAAACAAACAAACAAACAGAAGTCCAACACACAGATCTCTCTGCGATAAGATCAAGATGTTCCCAGGGCTCTCTGTTCCTTCCTGGAGGTTCTAGGGGATAATCTGTTTCCCGGCCTTTTCCAACTTCTAGAGGCCATCCACATCCCTTCCTCTATCTTCACTGCCAACAGTGGTGGATTGAGCGCTCCCATCACATAACTCCAGTCTCCTCTTCTGCCTCTCTTTTCTACTTTTAAGAACCTTTGTGATTATATTGCATCCAATGAGATAATCAAGGAAAATCTCCCTATTTTAAGATCAGCTAATTAGCAACCTTAATTCCATCTCCAATCTTAAATCCATTTCTCCACATAAATATTCACAGGTTCCAGGGATTAGGACGAGCGGGGATGGGGGTCATTATTCTGTCTATTCCAGGGGAATAGTGGCAAGGGGATGAAAGGGAGGAGGAAGGTAGGGCAGTATTTTCAAATGGAAGTGTTAGAAGTGTAACTTCAGGCTATCCTCACATTGATCTTGGCAGACACTAAAACCTCTGGATGATTTTCACATGGCTAAGCTAGAACCCATCCCACTTTGTACTTGTACTATTGCATTTTTCAACTTGAATGTAGAAATTTTCATATATTTCTGTTAAATTTTGTCTTTCAGGTTTTAGCTCACAGTTCAAATTGTTAAAATAATTTTGTTTCCTGGTTCTGTCTTCAGTCATATCTTCTATGCTATGTAGTTTTTGTTTTATCTGTTGATTTGACCAGAATGATTTCTTCACCTACGTAATTTATGAAAAATATGAACAAAAATCGGGGTAGAGTTATCCAACTAATTTTGATTTTACCTAATCATAATTAAATCAGACCCCTATTTTAGGCTTATCCACAAAGATATGAAAGATTGGATTAAATGCTTTCCTGAAATTAATTTATATCATGGCTATAAAATTCCATCTTCTCTCAAAGATCAAATAAAGAAGTGTGGTGTGATTTTTCTTAGTCAGTCTGGTTCCAAGTGACTACCAAATTCTAATACATTAAACTATGGACTCTGGAATTTTACTTTTCTGTTCTACAGTTTTCAGTGTCTACCTTTTTACCATTTTTTAAGCAAGTGATCTATCATCTTTTTCATTTTTTACAGTTTTTCAGAACTCATCAGCAACGGATCTTAGGTTACTTGTAAACAGCTGTGGGATGTAATTTGTCCCTGGAAACATGAACTTATTTGAAACAGATAGGTGTTTTCTTATTACCTCCTCACCTACCTCAAGTTTCAGTTCTCTTTGTATGTTGTTTCACCTTTACCAATGTAAAGTCCATTTTCTTTACTGAAAAGGGAAATAAAAGAAAAATTGAGTCAAGTTTCTCTTTAATGTTTACATTATTCTCTTAGGTAAATTACAAACTTTGTGTTTATAAAAATTTATGAAGGTTTATTTCTTTCTGCCCTCTATTATAATTCTTCACTCTAATTAAACCAGTCTTTCCATTTTTCCCTCCTGAAGTTACCAGGTAACTCTAGTTCTCAATGATTTCTCTATAGCATTTTATAATTTGCACCACATAATTTAACAGTGGAAGAAATATTATCTTCCTTGTTTAATGCTTTTATAGTTTTTTTTAAAAAAAACTCTCAGAACAATTGTTCATTTCTTTACCTTTTTTCACTTGATTAACCTAGAAAGTTGGGAGATTTTACCAAACAAGAATACTGGACACTGAATAAATACTTGTTGGTTAGTTAAGTTTTAAATATCAAATTTGGCTATACATTCTTCATATATCAGTCTCTTTGACTAATTTTTCTGTCTGGAGAAACAAAAAGGGTAAAATACTTAAAATTCTTTTTGTTGTAATAAAAACAATAGTAATAATAATAATATTAGTAGTAATAATAAAAATCAAACTAAAACTACCTTTAGAAGTCATTCTCTTCTCCAACCCTTCCCCTGTAACCCTCCAACAATTATCAATTAATCATATTACTGAGCTATTTAGTAACAATTTCAGCCACATTTGATATGTTAGTTTGGAACTCTATTTATTGGTAAAGCTGCTTGATTCCCTGCCTACTTTGTCAAGCAAGCCTAAATTTCTTTATCTGTTTTAACTCGTTCTAGACAAACATACCAATCTGAAATACCAAATACTGAATCTAAACTCTGAATATACGAACCACATCATTTCCCTTGAAACCTTTTTTTATCCTTGTAGAAATGTTAAATGTTTAAAAACAAATAATAAGTGTTTAATAATCATAGATTTTTTAAAAAGTCATGTAATTTTCAATGTATTATAATCATGCAAATTAATGTACTAAGTTGACAGTAAAAAAGCTGTAACAATTTAACAATTTTGCTCTTAATTTTGGCAAAAATAGCATAAAGACTCCATTAAATAAGGCTTTGATGTCTAGCAAATTCAAAAGTAGCACAAATAGAATTCACTGTTCACCAGCAGGAGGAGGGTAGGTTGTAGGTTCGTATCTAGGGTAGCAAGTCTTATTCTCTTACTCTACATTAAATTCTGTCAAAATTCTGGTTCACCGTTATTTTTGCACAGCTAGGCAACTTGTTAAATCTCAATCTACAACTCCCATGATTGATGTATTCCCATCTGATTTATTTGTCTAAGAAACGTATTAATGAGATTTGGGGATTAGGGTTGCCACCATGGCAACCCATCAGTATGGCTTGTTCTCTTTCCTAGATACGGAAGCTCAGAAAGGAACATCTTCCCTGAAGCTGCTTACTTAGTACTGGGACCTGGTAACTATGGAAATTTAGATTGAGATCATATGGCTACATTGTTTACAAGGTACAAATAGTTTGATAAATAACCTGTTCAAACAGACAGTAAAATACGTCAGGGTCCATACATCAATTTGTAGCAATTTTTTAAATTAATAGGTCTTATTTAGTTTCTCTCTGTTAAATTATTCTTACAACTGCATTACATTTGTATTAGTCTGTTCTCACACAGCTATCAGGACATACCCAAGACTAGGTAATTTATAAAGAAAAGAGGTTTAATTGACTCACAGTTTCACATGGTGACGGAAGCCTCAGGAAACTTACAATCATGGTGGAAGGCACCTCTTCACAGGGCAGCAGGAGAGAGAATGACTGCTGAGTGAAGGGGGAAGCCCCTTATAAAACCATCAGATTCTGTGAGAACTCACCCACTATCATGAGAACAGCATGAGGAAAACTGTCCCCAGGATTAAATTGTCTCCACCTGGTCACCTTTGACATGTGGGAAATATTACAATTCAAGGTGAGATTTGGTTGGGGACACAGAGCCAAACAATATCACCATCATAATTTTGTCATTCATCCTATAAGGGGAATTGATATCTTCCCTTTTATGAGTAGGTAGACTTTGTTGAGTGGGTGGTGACATTTTGTAGCGGAAATGAAAATATTTGCATATTCTTGCTTATTACATATGTTTTCTCATTGGTAGCATTAATCATATTTACTGTTTACTATGATGCATAGGACTTGGAAATTTAAATTGGTATAAGAAGCAGCTTTTGGCTGGGTGCTGTGGCTCAGGCCCGTAATCCCAGTACTTTTGGAGGCCAAGGACAGAGAATCACTTGAGCCCAGGAGCTTGATACCAGCCTGGGCAACATGGCAAAACCCTGTCTCTACAACAAAATAGAAAAACTAGTCTGTGTGGTGGCATGCACCTGTAGTTCCGGCTACTTAGGAGGCGGAGGTGGAAGGATCGCTTGAGCCTGGGAGGTAGACGTTGCGGTGAGCTGCGATCACAGCACTGCACTCCAGGCTGGGTGACAGAGCCAAAAAAAAAAAAAAAAGAAAAAAGAAAAGAAAAAGACAAGAAAAAGTTCTTAACCTCAGACTATTTACAATTTAATTGAAGACATGATACATAAACAAAATTATGTGAACAAGATGGTAGTATGTATGCAGTTGGGAGGAGAGTGAGATCATTTTGTCCGGGGTGATGAGATTTTTAGAGAATTGGGTTTTGGTCATGTCGTTTTGAAGCAAGAGTAAAAGCATAAGCAGACAGAATGAATGATAGAGAACATTACAAGGATAAGAAATGTAAGAAACAAATGCCTAGAATAGTCGTAGAAATGAGTAGACTTCTGAAGTTAAGGCAGGTTAAGGGTACTAGTGAGAAGTGTTGGGGTGAAAGTATGGTTCAGTAACATTTTAACCAAGTTTATCTTTCTTTACTTGGCCCCAAATCCTAGGCCATTGAGAATTTGTAACTAAAACGTTCTAGATGTTCCAAAAAGGGACAGAATATATCATGAATAGTTTTCATTACATGGCTTCTTTAGTTTCCTAATGTAGTTTCTTGAACATTCTTATCTCCCTTTCTCTCACCCCCACTGCCAGACTTTTTAATCCAGGGGTCCTCATTCCCCAGGCCAGGGACTGCTTCTGGGATCTGTGGCCTGTGAGGAACCAAGCAGCACAGCAGGAGGTGAGTGGAGGGCAAGTGAGTGAAGCTTTATCTGTATTTACAGCTGCCCCCCATGGCTGGTATTAGGGCCTGAACTCTGTCTCCTGTCAGATCAGCAGTGGCATTAGATTGTCATAGGAGTGAGAACCCTATTGTGAACTGCACGTGAGGGATCTAGGTTGTGTGCTCCTTAGGAGAATCTAATGCCCGATGATCTGTCACTGTCTCCCATCAGCCCCAGATGAGACTGCCTAGTTGCAAGAAAACAAGCTCACAGCTCCCACTGATTCTACATTACGGTGAGTTGTATAATTATTTCATTATATATTACAAGGTAGTAATAGTAGCAATAAAGTGCACAGTAAACATAACGTGCTTGAATCATCCCCAAACCATCCTCCCTCCCCCCGAAAAAACTGTCTTCCATGAAACTGGTCCCTGGTGCTGAAAAGGCTGGGGACCGCTGTTTTAACCATCAAGGATTCTGACGAACCTCTTTGAATTTTCTATTTAATTCATATTCCATAAGTAACACTTGATTCCTTGTTTCCCCCCCCCCCCCCAAGAATTTAGAAAGCAGAATGTATGTTGGGGAGATCTGGTTTAAATTCGAGAAGCAGAGAAAACAAAGACAAGTAAAAAAAAAAAAAACGTGATGTACACAGGATTGGCAGAATAAAAAAAAAGTCTGCAAGGGAATGTGACTATACAGAAATCTGGAGAGGAAAATACGTAATGTCAGTGTTAATAACTTTTGACCCCATTTAGGTCACTTTGAGTAACGAAACTCAAAACACTAGATTTTTTTTTTTTTCTTTTTTTCGAGACGGAGTCTTGCTCTGTCGCCGGGGCTGGAGTGCAGTGGCCGGATCTCGGCTCACTGCAAGCTCCGCCTCCCGGGTTCACGCCATTCTCCTGCCTCAGCCTCCCGAGTAGCTGGGACCACCGGCGCCCGCCACCTCGCCCAGCTAGTTTTTTTTTTGTATTTTTTAGTAGAGACGGTGTTTCACCGTGTTAGCCAGGATGGTCTCGATCTCCTGACCTCGTGATCCGCCCGTCTCGGCCTCCCAAAGTGCTGGGATTACAGGCTTGAGCCACCGCGCCCGGCCTAAAACACTACATATTTTTAGCAAAGTAAGTGCAGTATCCAGTCTCTCACAGATGCCATGTGTCTCAGGCCATTTGGCAAATTCAGCATCTGCCGCATTCCCAGACTTTGATGAGGACACTCCGCGAACTACAGGCACCCTCAGTAGGAGGACGTCCCAGGTCGGGGTGTGAGGGCGAATGAGGAGGCTGGGGAGGGGAGGCAAGAGTTAGGGAAACGGGGCCACACAACTCCAGATGCTGCGGCGGGAGGAAGAGGGGCTACGGAGGACTCAAAACGCGCTCAGAGAGGCCCATCCAAATGCCAGGAGACAGATCGCAAGGATGCTTAAGAGGAGACGTGACTGGGCGAGGCAGATGAGGAGAGGGCAGTGGGCCAAGGTCATCCGCTAAGAGGCGGCAGGTTTACCACTGAGACCCGAGCCCATGGTTTCTGCCCGCGCCTCTAGAAAGAGCGTGGCGAAATCCCCGATCCCAGGCGTGGAAGGCCCTGGGGAACAGGCACGAGGCCCGACTCTTGTGGCTCAGGGGCCCTGGGCAGCCGCGCGCCCCCGCTCACTACCGCTCGCCCCACCCTCAGGCGCGCTCCTCTTCCGGGCGCGATGCTTGCCTGCGTGCGCCGGGACGCGCAGGGCCGAGCGTCTGAGACGCGCCCGTACGAGGAGCGCCGTTTTCTAGGAGCCCCGCCCTCAGGTGCGCTCTGCAGGAGGCGGGGCGCGACTCCGCGCCGCGAGCTTCCCTAGCTGGCCGGCGCGCTGCCTGCTCTGCCTGCGCCAGGAGCGCGCGGGTGCGCGCGGCCGCGCCCTCGCACAGATCCCAGCTGGGTCACCCGCGCTGAGTCAACAGACTGAGCGCGTCCAGGCCTGACAGCGCTGCGGATCCGGCCCTGAGGTGAGGAGAGCGTAGCGGGCGTCGGCGCTTGAGGCAAGCCTGGGACAGCCGTCCCTTGGGGAGTTGTGGGGTCGAGGAGGGGCTGGCCAGCGAGGGGCGGCGGGGAGGGAAGGGGAGTTCGGCGTCTGAGGTGTGGGGTGAAGCGGGCTCGGAAGCGGGCAGAGGCGGCGAGCTGAGGGAAACGGACCTCTCTCGGCTCCCGAGAAGCGCGGGTTGCCAACCTCGGGGATGCGGTGGGAGCGCCCAGGATTCGGACGTGAGGGGTCGGGGCCCTGGGGCGGGGGCTCCGCGAGGCTCACCCGGGACCGGGTCCGGCCGTGGGACATCGGGACACTGCCTTTGCCTGGACGCTGTCGTTCCACCCTCAGCGGCGTCAGGGAGAGAAAGAAAACAAATATTGATGTAAATTTCCTTCTGAACAGCTGGGTAATGAGCGCTTGCTCTTCCCCTCGAGGTTACGCGCGGATCATTACCTTGTGTGTTAAAAGGAGTTTCGGTGAGAAGAAAATGCGCAGATCTCATGACACAGTTTGGGAGGGAAGTTCCCTGATCCTAAAACGCAAATAGGAGCTCCAGGCATGGAAATAGGAGCTCCAGGCGTGGAAATAGGAGCTCCAGGCATGGAAATACTTAATTGGATCGGAAAGCTGGGCAGGCTGGAGCTATTAAGCTGAAGGAGGGTTTCTTTCCCCTGGGCTCCTTAGGCTTTGATTTACGTTTTAGATAAATAAGTCCGAAAATAATGAAGATAATAACCACGTTTACTTTCTACGAGGGCGTTCTGAAGGAATCTAAGGGAAGAACAGTATTTACTGGACTAAAGCTTTGAGCCAGGCTGGGTGTTAGCTCTTTTAATTCTGACAGCATCCCTGTAGGGTTGGAGGGGGTTATTCCAGTTAGGCAGATGTGGAGAATGGGCCTCAAAGAGGCTAAGCCACTTATTAAGGTCTCAACTAGTAAAGGATGGAGTTGAGATGCCAGACTCTAATTCTGGTGCTTTATCCACTATATTTTGTGTTTGCCCGAAGAGCAATATTGTATGTGTTTTAGGGAAGACTCCATAGGAGGGAACATTATTAGGGCAGTTAGGGCTTTGTGGGTATTTGTGTTAAAATCAAACTAAAGAGGTGTTAATCTTTGAATATGCCCTGTTTGAGTGTATTTCCTTTCAAACAGATTTAGTGTAAGGAAATCTTACATTCACTATAAGAGCAAATTTATTAGTATGTTCCATGTTTATTGCATGTCTTTTATTTTTAAAGAGACAGGGTCTTGGGCTGGAGTGCCATGGTGCGATCAAAGTTCACTGCAGCCCTGAACGTCTGGGCTCAAGGGATCCTGCTGAATAACTGGGGCTATAGGCGTGTGTCATGTGCCCAGCTAATTTTTTATTTGTTTTTCAGAGATGAAGTCTTGCTATATTGCCCAGGCTGGTTTGTTGCATGTCTTTTACATTCCAGATACTATATTATGTGCCAAGAGTACCGTACTGATAGGAATATAATTTATAATCTCTGTCCTTGAGTTTAGTTGAGAAGGTGATTGTATAAAAGAATTTTATGATACCGTACTAAGTCATAACTTTTCTAGTACGTAAATTAGTTGGATTAAAAATAGTTTTAAGGGCAAGCTTTTAGG